AAGATTATTCTTTGAATGTTCATACATTGTTCTTGAGTGTTCATCATTTTATTCATATAAACACTATAATTTGGTTATTCTTAACTTGATTATCAGTGTTATTGAGAGATTTGGGATCAACACATAAGCAGCAGGCCTCAGAGCTTCAAACGACCCTTTGATCGAGTAAAATAGATCAGAGATTGTATGGATGCGATGATGAAGTCAACACCCTGTGACAAGCCAATCAAGAACAAGGCAGATAGTGAAGACCTCTACCAGTTCCTCTACAGCCTACGGGATGAGACACTAGTCATCAAGATCAACCTACATCCAACAGCTCAAGAGAACATTAGGCAGAGGTTCTTACAACGATATACACAGTCTGTCTCTGCAGTCTATTCTGTCGATGGCATCAAGCAAGTCCTCGGCATCAAGAAATGAACCTTCGCGCACAATCAAATCATCTCCCATGAATATATGGTGGAGAGGTCTCGTGGATAGATTAGCACTTTCACATATTGTGATCTCATAAATCTGAATCCATGAGACCATCTGTCTCTATACTACTTCGCGGATCATAAGAAGGACAAGGGGATAAAATATGATCTGGCCAATTCTGCCAATAAGACAGACAATGACGGACCTTCTGGACTTCAGATGTAAGTTTGACTTCCAATTGGCTCTGGACCTGGGAGTAGATCAACTGAGCATTACTACACCAAATGAAGATCTGCAAGGCATCAACAACATTCCCTCGTGGACCGTGCTGGTGGAACCAGAAATAGTGGTGGTCTTCTGAAAAGAACAAGGAAAGAAAATATTTTTCCGAGAAGACCAGCGCTTAAAATACTCAAACTCCACTCTGCTCTACATCAGAGATCATCTACTCAGGAGCAGAGTTAACACCCCTAGAGCAAAGGAAAGGGCAAAAATAATTTTAAGTTCAATCAATAACATGTTGGAGTTTCGAGGACTTCTTAGGAGGTTCTGTAAGCTTCAACACGTTTAGACCTTTGTCTTGTAAGCATTTTTTTTTTCAAGCAATGTAATTTCCTTTCTTCGTATTGTAATTCTTAGATAGAAAATGTAACATAGAGGTTTGTTTCAACCTCTGGATTCGACTAGACTTGTGTTTTTCAATTCTAGTAAGAGTCTGTCTTATTTACACTTAGGAGGAGATTGTTAGAACCCATCTTGTGAAAGTGTAAGTAAGAGGTCTCTTACTCTAGTCCATAGAACTTAGTCTTTAGAAGCAGTCTGGACTAAGAGCTCTCGTGCAGAAGTCAAGACCCAGAGCTCTTACTCAAAGAGTGAAGGATCTTACATACATAGCTCGCGCTCAATCTCCGTGGACGATCAAGCCTTGAGCGCCAAAAAGATTAAGCGCTTGATGCAAAGCTAAACTCCAGACACAGAGCCTCTGCATAGTATATGCAGAGCCTCTGCATATACAGAACCTCTACATAGTACATGCAAAGCTTCTGTATAGTACATGCAGAGCCTCTGGTTTCCTATCTCCATGGAACGCGCGTTTAATCCAGACAGTCTCGCAAGCGTCAAACAGAATCAAGGCGGCTTGACCTGGTCCACTCCACTTTTCAAGGGCAGTCAACGATAAGGATGCGGACTCGGCGACTTAGAGATTCAAGCCATAATGATAGCATAGTTTGTTTGACTTTGGCGTATATAAGGAGACTTCCTCCTCAGGTTCAAATTACCTGAGAGTGTCGACTTATACTATAGTCTTTTCTTGTGAGAATATGTTTAGATTGAGAACTGTAATTTTCATCTAATAGAAGCATCTGATTTATTCAAGTCTTCTACTGTTCTTATTTATATTGAATATTTCGTTTGATCAAACTCAATACACTATTCGTACTTCAATCATATTCTTTATCAACTGTGTTTTTCTGAGAATTAAGAGTATATGGGTTCCAACAGGTAGACACTAAGGTCAACCAACTCTTGAAGTGATATTGTAAAGGAATCGTATGGACACTTGGGTTGTAGGTCGTGAAGTGTCATGTGATAACGTTGTTCGACTGACATACTATTTGTGTTCTCGTCACTCTCATCGGATACATGTCTCCCAATTATTGCTGAACATTATTTTTGGATAGTGTCTTATCCATGTTTTAAATATCACTTGAGTTTTACCGAGCAATCGTAAATTACGGTTTGATATATTGGATCCCTTCCATATATTAAGGCTTTGGATACAAAAAGTTATATCCATGTTTTTGGTATTTTGATTTTAATCCTATTTGTACTTCGTGTGAGTATTTGGGTTCGATTTCATAATTGATGGTTATTTTTATTGAAGTATTTATATCATGAGAATGATGGTTTTAGGAAAGATGTGGTTTACGTTCTAAATATATTTCATATTTGTAATTATAAATTTAAATTTAAAAAAAATTATAATGAAACTTTATGAAAAAATGGGGGAGTTTACGCCAAAAAACAGACTTTACGCAGAAAATCTATTTTCTGTATAAAGTCCCTTTTTTTGCATAAACTCTCTTTTAACTAATTTTTCTTTTTTTTTTACCTGAAAATAAACTTTATGCATAAAATCTTTTTCTACGTAAAGTTTATGCGTAAAATTTATTGGCGTAAATTCCTTTTCCAACTTATTTTTTTTTTCCTGAAAATAAATTTTAAGTAGAAAACCATTTTCTGCATAATGTTTTTTTTAAGCTTTGGCTATTTGAAGAAATGGGTTTTTAAGATGACTAAAAACTGAAAGTCATTATAAAATGGCTATTTGTGTAAATTTCTCGCATAATGGATATATAACAATTTTTATGCTATAATGGTTTGGCAAGTTCCATTCAATCTTTTATTAATTATTATAAGATATTAACGATGTTAATACTTAAAAGGTTAAATTCCAGTAAAAAAAATGAAGTTATGCTGAGAAATGTAAGAAGAAATCTTCATCTTTGGATCAATCTAAATGAATGTCAACACTAATGAGGTGCACCGAGATACCAGATCAATTCCCTTTTCAAACGCAATTCATTGGTGGGCATGAAATTAAAAATGATCAATTGTTCAAATTTCTTCTTACACTTCTCATCATAACTTTTCTTCTCATACGATCTTTCGCCAATACTTGTATTTATATTTTTTATTATACAATATTTGTATATAATAAAAAAACTTATATATCCACTCTATTTCTTATGAGATTTGTATTTACCAAAAAACATTCTAAAACTTTTTGGGCAACCATCAAACATTTCTGTTAAACATGTGTAATGTTCGGTTAAAAGTTTGTTGATCGGGTTTCGAAATAAATAACGATGGAAGGTTCAGGGATAAAAAGCTTATGGTTGATAGAAAGGGACCAAAAGGTGAACATTTTTTTGTCACCTCCTTGTGATTTTTAAAGGTTGGTCCAATGGTATGTATTTGATTATGATTTTGATTAAAGCATTCACGTGGCGGGTGCATGCCCATGCACCGCCTCACACCCCTTTCTGCATATATAGATTGTTTTGGGAGGAATGGTGGGAGTTTGGAGAGAAAGATTGAGAGGATAAAAGGTTTGGGAGAGGTTCTGGTGGTTTCGATTAATATCGGACGACGTGAGTTTTTACAAAGCTTTTGTAAAATACGTGTTATTATGTTTCACGTGATTTATTTTGATACATGAAATTATGTGATGCATTTGGATTCAAAAATTATGTCTATAAAAGCGTGCTCATCTCCCAAGATTTGGGAGATGAGGGGGTGCTCATCTCCCAAGCGTTGGGAGATGAGGGAGTGTCCATCGCCCAAGCGTTGTCCAATGAGGGTGTTCCAAGCTTTGACCATTGTGTTTGTGGATCGTTTAAATCTTGTTAAATGCGATAAACGGCAGGGCATCTGCGATAGTTGGCAGGTTAACTGCGATAGCTGGCGGGGTATCCACGATAGTTGGTAGGTTAACTGCGATATGTCGCAGGGCATCCGCGATAGTTGGCAGGTTAACTGCGATAGATGGCGGGGTATCCGAGATAGTTGGCAGGTTAACTGCGATATGTGGCAGGGCATCCACGATAATTCTAACAGTGAGATCAGAACTGAATTCATTAACATATTGATCTATTTGATGCAATGAGTTATATCAAAATGTGTTAAATGAGTTATTGGTTTTCTATGATAAATTGGCAATGTCTCGTCTTTTAGATGTGACAAAAGAGAATTGTTATATCAAAAGGTTGTATATTTGTCATTATTACCTATATGAGTTTATAAATGTGTTTGGTGATTATTCACCCTGTAATGGCAGGCAAGAAGGGAATTCACTCACTAGACCTTCAACCCTCATTTTTGGTGTTTTAAATGGTGCATTACAAGTCAAGTAACCAGATGTTAAGGGAAAGGGAATTTATGAAAAAAAATTATATTATTGCCTGGATGTGGATATTTGGGTTAATGTATTGTAACTTGTACCTGCATGTTGCTTATAAGTTCAAGTTTTGTATAGAGATTTGGAAAGAAGGAAGTATTTATGGGTTCTTTTGGGACCGGATGTGTAAAGTTGTATGTCATGTTATATGAAATACATGATTATATGAAAATGTGGAACCTGTGGTGTTACAAATGATATATGAGCCTAAGTTTAAAAGATTTAGGTATTCAACATGATGCCTAGACTTAAACTGTATTATTTGCATATTTAGGGTCCCTAATACATTAGAATAAGCATGATGGGTTAAGAGAACGATATGTACGGTAAACTCAAAATTACAACTGGCCAATGTAATTATGAACAGGTACATATTTGTACTTAGATACCATATTATATTTGGGAATATGATTATGTGTATATGAAATTCTTGTGAATTGTTAGATGGCAAGAAATTTCTCCAGATTTGAGAAGAATTGCACTAATTACCCCAGAGGGAAGGGATAGTTCCTTAGAAAATAATCTACAAAATCCATCTGTTAGTCGGAATAGAAGCTGAGACTGAGGCAGAGGCCGGGAAAGAGGTAAAAATATTCTTCCTGTATTTCATTCCAAATAAAGAGATCAAATCGGGGAAGTGCAAATGATGAATGAAACAGAGTTAGATTTTTCAGTCAAGATTAGACTCAACATTCTGAATACATAACTCGGGTTATGTTTGTTGAAGAAATGGGTAAATTTCAAAATATTATAACATCTTATTGAGAATATGATGAATTGAAGGAAATTGAGTCAATTTTTGATACTAGTAAATGTTCAACAAGGATAGAGTGAGATTTTCTGTTTTTATGATGGAAATTTAACATTTTATACTGGTGGGAAGTGGAATTCTTATCCAAACCAGATAATTTTTGAATGATACGTGAATGGAGTTTACTGTCTGGTTGAAGAACAGTTTTGTCTTAAAGCTATAGACAGACAATTAGAAGGGAAATTTTGAAATTGGAACAGGGGATATGATTATCATGTCCAGGATGTAATAACCAAAAAATAGAGAAAAGGAATTGTTAGTCGTTAAATTTCAAGGACTTGTAGTGTAAATGCAGTCAAAGTGAAGGGTTTAGACCCTAAAATTGAATGTAATTTAATGACAGGAAACCCAATGGTCATGAAACCTACGGCCATTAATCTTGGCTTATCGTTTCATATTTCGTGAAGTTGCCGATAACTTAGTATAAAATGGGAGTTTGTAGCTTTATGTGAAGTTTGGGGTCAAGAAGGAGAACTATTGTGAGAAAAGGCGACGGTGGACGCAGTAATAAGAGTCGACGATGTTGTACATCACATATAGTTCGACGCCAATAGGTAAGTGTTTCATACTCATCGTCTCTAAATTTTGTTTACTAGATAATCACTCTAGTCGTTTGATCATTCAGGTGGGTTCCGTAGGGCAACATGTGGCCAACGGTCATCGCTAGCACCTCTATCGTTCGAAACAGTAATCTCTGTGACACCGGGTTGACAAATCGTGACCCCCCATTTTGGTCCTACAAGATAGAACTTATGGTTCATGTGGGTATCCGTCAATATATATATATATATATACACACTAGTTGTGTACCCGCGCAATGCTGCGGGTTGTCAAATTTTATTGAGGATCAGAAAACATAACTGGAATACATCCGTTGATACCTTATACATTTCTTAATCACAGAAACAGGAAAAGTGATGCCGAATTAAGGAAAGAAAATAAATAAGTGCAATAATAATAAGAAATCTTCAGGTATGATATTTCTGGATATCTCATAAAATGTAAAACCATTGCAACATCCCTCTTACCAGTTTAAAACATAAACATTACATCTCTTTCGTGTCTATTGTCTCCCGTTTCGGTCTTCTTGTCGAATATGATCCAAACACTCCACACCCTTGAACCTTCCTCCACACACTTCCTTCTTTCTCCATCTCATAATTTACTTCCATGATCGCACCCCTAGAGTTAAAACATTTCGGTCAAACCTATAGGAGCAAAACTTACCTCACCCGACAATTTCTTGATAGGAGCTACCGTAAACACCTCATATTCTCTCGATTTCAATGTTATTGGGATAGATGCATTTTTTTGGAAGGTAACACAATCCTCCTGCAAAATAAAAAGTGATTGTCAAGGGGCAATATGTACTCACTGGAGGGAGCATGTTAGAGTCCCGCACAAGGGTGGAACACAAACTTTCCTAGCGCAGGGGCTGGACCTAATATTATATATTTTAAAAAATACCAAAAATACACTATCCAAAGTTATAACGTAGAAGTTAAACTTTGTTGCATATATGAGATGCCACAAAATGATAAAGGTTGCACCTGCTGAACTTCATTATAAAACAACCAGTCAAGAAAACCAATACATACACAATCAAGCTAAAACCAAACAAGCAAAACAAATGGAAACCATCAATAAGCCCATGTACCGGCTATATCTAGGACTACTAAGGTGCAAAGACACAATTTACTTGACAACAGTGTGTTGCTTCTAGAAGACAAAAAAAAAAATTCGATGCAAAAACATGATCAAGAAATATCCGCTTATTGTTGTAACTTTTTTTCCAAATCACTTTCTTTTGTTATGATTTCTTAGTCAATTTTCAATCACATCAAACATCACCATGTTGCTCTTCCGTAGGAAACATGGCATTCTCATCATATATGTAATTCTGGGTGTTAGCATTGGATCTGGTGCATATTGATGATTCTACTGCTCATGTATTAAGTAGCTTCAAAAGCAAATTTGATATCACCCCATCTAAGCTCCACTGTTCATGTGAAATATGTAACGCCCCCAACCAACACATTGCATGTAACACATATTTCATACCAAAGAAATACATATTCATATACACCTGGTCCCTTAGTACAAGAATCTACCATCATGACCAAATACAAGGTCCAAAAATTCAAAATACATATCTTGTACTAAATAACAAAACTAATCATCAAAAGCAATTCTGCAGCCAAATGCATATAAGAAAAGCATTAAATCTTTTTCTTTCCTTTACCTTTTACAATTCCTGCAATACACATTTTGAAATCACAAAAAACGAGGGTTAGACTGAAAAGTCTAGTGAGTTACCCTAATCATGTAATTGCAGGGTGAAGGATCACCAAAACCTTTATAAAACAACTATTCATATATATAACGAATATATGAATATGCAAGAAGGTAATATCAAATCCTTTTTCCACTTTCAAACTAACCACGTAGCTATACAAATTTCATACCTTTGAACCAATCGGGTTCCATTTAATACCATTTCAAACCTTTTCTTTATCAATTGAGGTTTAAACAAAGATTCAGGCCAAACCTGACGTTTCCTT